GTCCATGTACTCATTTCAATTTCAATGAATTTGAGTCATTGTTGTTTCTCTCCTGTGATGGGAGAATGTCTTCTATTCATTGTTGCATGAACAAAATAGGCCTTTATCAATAAGAATTATTTTAGCCATACCCCCTCACCTCCAGAAACAAGATCTTCAACTCAGGACCATTTCCATTGCTTTTTCTACCTTTTCATCTTCATTTCTCACCTAGCACATACACAGAGATGCCTAAACTGGAAAATTTTTTCTTTAGCTGGGGAGAGAGACTGTGGGACATGGAAAGCATCTCCCTTCTTAATTTTGATATTTTCCTTTCCCCAAATTCATGGTCTGTAACATGATATTTGCCTTGAACGCTGCATTACTAAACTTAAATTTGAGAGTATGCAAATGCTAATTATAGGAGGAATAATTCTGCCAATTGTATTGAATTCTTGCTAGATGTGTTTTAATCTCTGTATTTTCCTTCCTCAATAATATAATATAGTTGCATATAGCTCTCATGGTTAATATAAAGATTAAATGGAATAATTAGTAAACAGCACTTATTAACTACTACTATTATTATTATTATTTTCTATTATGGCCACAGACTTTCTCTTTGACAATTGCCAAAGCTGTTTGTCACAAAAGAAATGAGGCAGATGATATGCATGCTCAGGAAGAAAAATATCAGTTCTGAGTAGCATTGCCTCAGGATTTTCAACAAACTATATCCCCTGTAATATTAGTGAATCATTACTTTCTTGGGAGCTGAGAGGGGCACGTGATGCCTGCAAGTACATGTTCTAAGGCAAGATGGAGGACTTGTCAGAAGTGATTACTTGCCATTTTCGAGGCAGAAGTAAGCATCACAAAACCATGAAAAACATGAGACATCCAAATAAGCTCCAATACAGCACACCTCCACTCCCACCAAGTTACTCAACTGTAAACTGGAGGTATTTGCTTGCCTTCTAAACTCATCAAAAAGCTTAGCCGGCCAGCAAATGATAACAATAAACAGCTAACCATGCATGAAACAAGAAATCAGAGTTTTCTTCTTCTATGCATGCTTAGGCTAGGAGAGATGCCAGTCAGTGAACTTAAAAAATAAAATAAAAGCAACAGCAAGAATGCTATTCAGAATCTTTACAAGTCCTAGAAAGATGTGTCCCAGTTCCTGACATAGTATAGGAAAGCTGCGGCTTCAGGTAGCCCCATGAAATGAGTTGCCTACAAGAAGCAGCAATACAAACATAACTGTTTTGTCAGGCAGAGGTTTCCATGATATACTTTGCTGAGATTTTTCTACACAAATTTGAGTAGTCTGGGTTCAGCAGCTCTCCACAGCAGAAGAGCTGTGAATACTTCACTTCTGTGACCTTGGGTGCACAGCTAGGTTGAGAGGACTTTAGAGATCTGTGGATGTAGTAGCATTGAAGAAATGTTGTATTCACTTGGGGAGGGGAAAGGGTTTGGGCCTTCTCAGCCCACCCAGACTCTGGATTTGCTCACAGTTCAATTATTTACTGAAAATGAGAAACAAAATCATGTGTTTTAGCCCTTGATTAAATAGAGGATAATGTTTTGTTAGAAAAGTCAGCTGCAGAAATTCAGTCTGAATGTGGCGGTTGCTGCCACTGAAAGGTTTTGATTTGGCTAATCACAGAGGTCTTTCTTGAATACTAACTAAGGATTCCAAGCAGAACAAATTTATTCCTGATGAAGTCTTGCAGCTGACAACGTGGAATAATTTGAATCACAGACCTGTGAAATTTGATCAGGATGGAATTAAATGACTCTCCCGAAGTGCTTTCACAAGTCTGTTTTAACCAAGGAAGTTCAATGAAGTTGGGTAGCCAATAAAGGGAAATTTTCATCTCCATCCTTACTCAGGTGAGAGTCTTCTGCTATCAAGAGGACTTCTGAGGTGTGCATGGAGATCAGTCAAGCATTCCCACCCTCAATTATTATCAATTATGACTCAATTATTTACAAAGCTGTACAGATCTTCCTAGTATCCTTCTAAATAAGCTCTATATTTTAGGAGTGATGATGTCTATGTATGTCACCATTTGCGTGAAACATAATTTTTTTCTTATTTCTCCTGTACTTTACATCTTATATATCTTAAAGAGTACAAAGTACACACAGTAGAAAATTGGAAACCAGCATAAAACCATCAGCCTAATCTTGAACTACACTGACTCCAACATAGAAATTCAATCATTTGGTATCTGGATGAATATATGAATCATTCACTTTTGTTTTCATATCTTACAGGCCAGGGCACAATCAGCTTGACCTTCTGAGTGCGGGTGGAGGAGAGAGGATGAGGTCAAAGTGGGAGAGAGGCTCTTCAAGTTCTATTCTGGTAACTGCGAATTCTGCAGTTGAAAAGAAGCAACTTATACCATATTAATAAAATAATTTATTTTTATAAGAATGTTCAAAAATCATTATGAAATAATTTTTATTATAAAAATTTGGAACACTTAGAAATATATTTTTAATGTCATGTTCTACTATCTTGTTTCTTGGACACTAGCTATGATGATGCAAGTTCTTTGAAAATTACACAAAGTGTACAAATAGTTGATTTTTAGAAGATACGTGTGATGGCAAGGAGAGGTTAACATGTTGTTTGCAAAGGAAAGAAAGCTGTAAAAGTAGAAGATTTAAGATGAAAATATAAAGCAAAATTAGACTTTCAAGAAATGAAGTAAACAGGTTTAAGAGGGCTGTTAGGTGAAGACCAGCCAAGAAAATGCTGTACTATAATTGCTCATTTTTCCAACAAACATGATATTTTATTAATCTTAAATGTTATTAATGATTGGTAACAAGAGAAATATTATTGCTAGCTCCAGGAGTCAAACAGATGAATGGCTTCTCCTAGCACTGAAAAGGTTCTGTCTTCAAGTTATGTATTCAGTAAGATATCTTGTTGATGTTCCCTACATGCAAAGTGACACTGTGGGTAGAAATCAATGGGTGCCAAAGCCAGAATGTGTGATATTTACCTAAATATAAGTATGAAAATGTCCATTTTAATGTTTTTAAACTCTCCAAATTAAAAGAGATTTCTCTTTAAAATTAGCTTTGCTGTCCTAAATTATTGAAAAGATTCCCAGACTGAAATGAGGTCCACTTCTTTTTTTTTAATTAGGCAATAATCTATTCTCACAAATGCCAAAATGAAGAAATTAAGCCAATTAATGTCTTGTTTTCTTTTGTATCATGTAAAAAGAAAAGATGTCAAACAAGTTGGCCTCATTTTATATTTTAATTAAATTCACAAATATTTTCCTGCAGATGGCAGTGATCTAAGTGAAGAAATATAAGCTTTTCCTGATAATAACTCTACCTATGGATTCTACCATATGTCTCTAAATACTTTTAACACCTCTGAGTGCATATTTTACATGTATATATATATATATATATATATACATATATATGTACATATATGTGCTGTGATACTGGAGTTTTGAACTGTGTATCTCCCACTTGCTAGGCAAGCATTCTACTCCCTCAGCCACATCCATGCTCTTTCTTGCAATAGTTATATTTCAGATAGAATCTCCCAGATTTTGCCTGAGATGGCTTTGGAACTTGATTTTCCTACCTAAGCCTCCCATACAGCTGGAATGACAGCTTCATGCCAGAATGACCAGACATGTTCTTTGAGATAAGGTCTCACAAATTATTTTGCCCAGGTTGGCCACCATGCCTAATTGCATATGTTTTCAATGTATTCAGTCTACATTATTCTGCCATTCTGAACTGAATAATATCCAGTTATATTTAACAAATCACATTTTTCCATTGTAATTTCATATATTATGTACACATATTTCACCGATCCTTGTAAAATATGTGATTGATACAGGAAGTACCTAATGAAGAAGTGTTGAGTCATGTAACACCACAACACAAGAAGAGTGTGCTCTCTGTACTGAATTCCAGTGTCAGCATTATTTGTCATAGACTGAATGTTTGTGTCCATTAAAAATTCATATGTTGAAATGCTAACCTTTGATGTGATGGTATTAGGAGGTGAGTCATTTGGGAAGAGATTAGGTTCAGAGGCACAAATGGGATTGTATGAGGTTACAGATGGGATTAGGACCCTTACAAAAGAGACTCTGAGAGGTCCATGGTGGAAAGAGTGAGAGACTCTACCTTGTCAACACACAGCAAGAAGACAACCATCTGCAAAGTATGAAGGGGAACTTAGCAAATTCCAAATCTGATGTGGCTTCGGTATTGGATTTCTTAACCTTTAGAATGGTAAGGAATAAATATTGGTGTTTAAGTCAAACAGTCTGGTATTCTGTGATAGCAACCAGAACCAAGATACCTTTAGTTTTAGCAAATCACTATTTTTCTCTTTTATGATTTATTCAACTATAAGCTGTGAAAAATGCAGAGAAAATAAAAATATTGAAAGGAAATCAGTAGGCATTCCAAGTGCTATTCATATTAAATAATGTGCCCATTTGATCTTTGATTTAACTGGAAAAAATATGGTGAGTCATTTGGCATTTCCTGAGACTTAAAATGCTTAGTTGATCTTTTGAGATGCTAATTCTAACATAATTCAGAAAACAGTTAACATCTACAACTGATATAATATATCCTTCCATACATTATCATAACACATGTCAAAGAAGAAAATTCTGATATTTTGATATTCTTATGTTTGGAACAGAAATAAAGAAGTATTGATTATTAGAAAAAAATTCATCATTGCAAAAAGAACTAGTAAATATTTGGAAAATATTTAAGAACTTCACAAATTCCTTTGACTCAAGCCTCCCTTGTTGCCTTGAGGAATTTAATGATGGAATTGTCCATCTTAACTGGCATTATCTAAGCTCTTCTTTATGTTTTTTCTAAGGTACTTTTTAAAGTGTTCACTCCTCCTATCTTTTTTTATTATTATTATACCTATCTTAAAACACTCTCCCTCCAATTACTGTAAAGTATTATGTTCTTAGTTTTTCTCCTACCTTCTTCATGCCCTGCCTCAGCTTCTTTTTGCCCTTCTGTTTCATAAGTGTGGCCCTCTGACAAGATTCCATTCTTCCTGAACTTTCACCTTCATACTTTTCATATACTCCAATGACTTCAAATTTTACTACTATGTGGAAGATTTCTAAATTCATTTCTTTGGCATCAGATTTCTCTTATGGCTTCTCATTCAAATTTCTGCTGTCTCCATAGGTTGTGTATCTCCATCTTATATACTAGTTTCAACTTTTACCCTTTTCTGATCATTTTTTGCATTGGGGAATATCTTTCCCTTTGGCATTTGCTTCAAAATAATCCCCCATGAATACCAACCTCCTCTCTAATTAAAGCATCTTGTCTCTAGATCAATACATTTAATGTATTCAACTGACTCCTCAATAGTACCCTACAGTGTCAAAAGATTATAGAAATTCAACTTACCAAATACAGAGCTCTTGATTCACCACTCTCTCAATCTGATGGCCTTCAGGTGTACTTTTTCTCAATTAATTCTATCTTTCTACACATTGTTTCACAAATCAGAGATATAGAAACTTGCTTCACACATATAAACAATTCAATCGGACCATTACTGGTGATCTGGTGATCTAGTCAAACTGCCATTGCCTTTCCTCATGTGATCATATAGCACTAAGTAAGCATTTTTTTCTTCCCTATTCTGCTTTCTTTACTGAAACTTATTCTCTTTCCCTTTATTATCTGAAATTCTATGCAAATTTACAATCTCAGCTATGGCCCACATTTTCTTCACACTCCTTCATGAACCCCAGTAGCTCTCAAACTATCTGTAAATTTTTTAAGTAACAATGTAATGCTAAGGTTTTGTGTTTTTATTTTTTTTAGCTTTTGTGTTTTCATTATGCCCACTTCACGGATGAAAAATCTAAGCCTCATATGAAGGAAATGTTATGCTTAAAGTCATGTATCTAGTTAGTAACAGATCAAGACTTTAAAATCAGATTTATGAAGCCTAAAATTCATCCTTGTCTATGATCCTAACTCCTTCAATATTCAGTCTTGCCTCTTAAATGAGTGTTGTGCTTCCATTCTTTCATATCCCTACTGAAAGTAGAAACTCCTTGAGAGAGGAAATATTGCTTCATCCATACATCTTGGTGCTTTTGTCTAGGACCTAAGAATATACTGCTGACATGTCATATTTAACAAATAACTGCCTTCTCATAAATCACACAGTGTGACAGATCTTAAATAAAAATAAAGTGCACTTTATTTTTATTTAACATCATTAATAATCTTTTTCTGACACATCTTTTCATAAATTTAGTTATTAGGATCTTGTCAAAGTAACAATTATTTATGATATAATTCAAGTTTGGAAGATAGAAACTCTTTCAAAGAATGTTCTTATAATCATCTGCCTAGCAAGTGTGAGGCCCTAAGTTCAAATCCTAGTGCCACAAAAAAAGAAATGTCTTTATAAAATACTCAGAGGCCAGTCAATTTTTGCATACTTTTAACATTTTATATATAAATTTCAAAATAGATGGTTTGTTCAAAAGCACATATTATTGGAATTCATAGACTGAATTCAGATACAATCAAAAATAGATGTCAGTATTATGGGCATAATCATAGCTTTCTTATGAATAACAGAATGTGAATTCAATGACTCAAATATTTTATAAAATCCTATCCTATTAAACCTACCAGAGAGATGAAAGTATAAGATAGCCCACTGGATATTCTAAATGACCTAAATTCTTTCTCCCTACCACCTTGCCTGGGGTTGAATGGGAGAGAAGAGACATGTCAGTCTAAATATTAGGAAAAATAGATGTCTATAGTAAGTCTAGAGTACTGACACATCGCAGTACTAATAAGGGCTGGCTGTGGGACTCTGGCAATGGGACACCTGCCTAACAGAAGTAAGGCCATGGGTTCAAATCTTACCCTAGTGAAATTCTATTGTCTGGTGTATTTCTCTGATCATCATTCTCTCCTCACTAGGATAATAATTGGGTTAGCATTCAGGAATCCTCATGCAGGGATGGAGAGACTGTCCCTTATGAGAATGGTTGACACAGAAGATAGGGTACCACGCTACTTGCTTGCTCCAAAGATGTCTGATGGGAACAGGTAGGAAGGACCTGTGTTAAGGCTTCCTAGACACATAAGGGACATTCCACTGATCTTAAAAGCTCTAGTTTTTCTCTCTCCAATAGGGTAAATTTCCCCCTTCCATTTCCCTCTCTCTCTCCAAAAGCTTACATGGAGTTAACCAACTCAATTCCAATGGATTCCCTACCTAGCTTTATCCTTAAATACTGGGAATGCTTTGATACTGCTAAACTAAAAAAAGGGACATTTGATTCATTATTATAATGAAGTTTGACCCCAATATCAATTAGGGCTAAAAGGTGATGTGAAAATGAGAGTCTTAATTATGACACCATCTTATAATGGTATTGTAAAAAAAGAAAGACACGGTGAGAAACACCATATGTGCAAGACTTTATGGTCCTATATCAAAACTCAACCCTCTGTAAGGGGTTTTCCAGACCCTAACAAGAACTTAAGGAAGAGACATAGCTATCCTTAATGATCCTTTGCTACAAAGAGCCTCACATGTCTCACAAAAGGAACCCCCATTACCTGTTCCTTACACTCCTGACACTGAGCCAAACTTCCCAAACTCCTCCCCCAACTCCTTCTCCTTCAGCATCCCCAATGCCAATGATTCCACCACACACTTGAAACAGGAAATCTTACTCAGAGACCCTCCAACAATGCTCCCATTATGAGAAATATCAGGGCCCAAGGGATCAAATTTGTGTTCATGTGTCCTTCACTACTAATAATATCCAACAGTATAGGGAAAATTGGGGAGGTATCCTGAGGACCCAGATAAATTTACAATTGAGTTTCAGACCTTGGCATTAAGGTTTGATTTGTCTTGGAGGGATGCTCCTCCTAGCCAAATGTTGCACTCCTACAGAAAGGGAAAATAATCTCTGTTGCCCATAGGGAGGAAATGAGACCTTTGCTCGGGAGCCCATAAGCTGACATCCAGAGGATGCTACTGTCCCAACAATTGAGCTTCACTGGGATTATAACACCCCAGGAGGAATGCTGAGGAGGGCCCATATGTTGAAGACCATCCTTCATGGAATGAAATCAGGAGCCACAAAGCCTGTAAATTCTAACAAGGTCAAAGGAATCATCAAAAAGCAAGAGAAGAACCCTGTAGCCTTTTATGATAGACTAGAGGAAGACTTTAGAAAACACACTGCTCTTGATCCTGAGTCTGTTGAAGGGCTGCCCTCCTAAGTCACCATTTTGTCAATCAATCAGCTTCAGACATTAGATGAAAGCTTCAGAAGCAAAATCTGGGAACCCTAACCAACAAAACTCAGCTGGTAGATATTGCCTTTCAGGTCTATAACAATCATGACCTGAAAGAGGAAAGGACGGAATAGAGAAAGGAAAACAGGCAAGCCAAACTTATGGCTGCTGCAATTGAGGACACCCCAAATACCAGAAGACATCCTTAGGAAAAAAATGCCAGAAAGCTATCCTGTTTTAAGTGCAAAAAGCTGGGGCACAAGACAGGGAATTGCCCAGAGCCACTCCTAGGATCCTGTCACGAATGCTCCAAAACAGGAGTTTACCAATGGCATTGGATGGTGAACTGTCCCTGCTCCCAGAAAGAGGTCCAGCCAGTCAAGACTCTAATTGTAATGGCTGCAGCTGCACATGACTGAGGAGGCCCCCCCCACTGGTTGAGCCAATCCAGAGACAAGGCTCTTAACAGGGAGAGGATTGGCAGGTGGATTTCATTCACATGCCACCCTGCCAAGGTTATAAACAGTTGCTAGTTTTTATAGACACCTTCATGGGGTAGACTGAAGCCTTTCCTACTCGAACAGAAAGAGTCTCCAAGGTGGCAAAGGCCCTTCTAAAAGAAATTATTCCTACATTTGGCCTGTCCCAAACACTGTAAAGTGATAATGGACCAGCTTTTATCTCACAGGTCACCTAAGGAGTCGCCCAGGCCTTAGGAATTAAATACCATTTACATTCAACTTGAAGACCTCAGTCCTCTGGTAAAGTAAAAAGGGCCAAACAATCAAATGAACCTTGGCTAAACTTTGTCAAGAGACCTCTGCAAAATGGACCCAACTTTTGTCTATAGCCTTACTAAGAATTAAAAATGATCCAAGGGCCAAGATTCATCTTAGCCCTTGTGAAATGCTATATGGGAGGCCATTTCTCTCTGATAACTTTAGTGACCAACCCTGAGATGGACAGTTTCTTAATGTATGTATGGATCTAGGGACATTTCAACAAGAACATCAAAGGGTGGGAAACAAGATCCTACCTGCCCCAATGAAAGGGGGAAACCTCCAAATAGCACAGGTGCTAATTAAGTCCTAGAAAGAAAGAGCCCTGACTGACCAACTCCAGCCCAAATGGAAGGGCCTTTATCCAGTGATCTTGGATATGCCCATTGCTGTTAAGGTGCAGAGAATAGAAAGTTGGATTCATCTTTCTAGAGTAAAGCATGCAACAGAGGAATCTACCTCTGAACAAGCACAGCCTGGGGATATTTGCTCCTGTGAGCCAATAGAAGATTTAAAGCTCATCTTCTGGAGGAATCAAAAGACTTCAACTTAAACAATAAATAAAAGCTCTAGGTTGATTATTTGCTTATACTTTTACCTCTCTCAGCCCCATCTCCCAAGTACCACTATTCTGCTTACTATAGAACCTTGGAATACTTTTTTTAGGGTATTTTGCCTTATTCTCCTCTTGGGACTGACATCTGGCTTTGGCTAACTTCCCCAAGTCTCATGCCCTTACCTCTAATCAAAACTACTGTAGTCATAAATAGCCATAACCTTCCCAAACTGGCAAATAAAAAATGGATTCACATATATGCTTTCTGTAAAACTCAACTTCTGCCAGAAACCACAGGGCATGTTTCCCTTGTGCAAAACAAGTTTCTATCAATGTATACTCCCGAAATGGGCTAACTTGTGTACTCTGGTATGCCCAGACCATGATAAGTACATTGCCCTAAGTCATCAATCCTTTACGGTCTCAATTACAATGGCAGTTCAAATCAAGAGGGCCATTCAACTTATCTCCCTTTTAATTAGTCCAAACTAAAACA